TGTGTGTGTGTGTGTGTGTGTGTGTGTGTGTGTGTGTGTGTGTGTGTGTGTGTGTGTGTGTGTGTGTGTGTGCAGATTATTACCAAGCCTGTTTCACCAAAACACACTTTTAACTCGGAAGTTCTAAACACTTTATCGAGTGGAGTAAACCTGCTAACATTCCTGCAAACAAAAATATCTTCCCAACCAGAAGGAAGCAGCTCCAACACTTGTATATTACTGTCATCCGGCAAAAAGAAAAAAAAAAAGAAAAAAAAGAAAGAAAAAAACACTCACGTTTGCAGCTACAGGTTTGCATTTTATAATGTAATTACCTGCAACAGGATGTCAGAAGGAGCATGGAAACACGATCAAACATCGTATTTTCAAATATTGGAATTATGGAAATCCTGTCAACGGCGCGGTTGCTATCATCAACTGCCGAATGTTTGTAAAGTCGGTGAATATGCCAGAATATATATATATTTTTTTTGCACTCGGCTCCTAATGTTTGCGCAGGAGCCTCCCATCAGTTTAGGGGCTTGAACATTTAAGCTAGAGAACGTTGCATCCTCAACCACTTTGATTTATTTTTGGAGTRCACATAAAACGAGTGCATCCATGTGATATATCTCTTTCTAGTTCAGTGATTCCCATCCAAGGGCATGCATGCAGTTGCCAGAGATACTTGAAGAAACTGTGGCATAAATATTATTAGAAACACTCACGGTGATTAGAGGATGTACGTTTCAGACGAAATGAGACAACAGACAGTGGTTTTACAGCACGCATTCAACACCTACATGTACACGTTTGCAATGGCATGATTACATGAAATTTTGTTGCAGCTTTCCTACCTTTTTAAGCACAAGGTTGCCGTCTTTGTTATCGTTGAGTTCGACGTTGAATATTTCCCGAAATCCACTTTGAACAGAAAATCTGGGATCTTTGTTTTGAATCTGATCTTTGTCCTCCAACTTCAGAGTGTCAATCTTTTCATTCAGCCTGTGGTTCTCGGGAACATACAGTGAATACGACTCTGTGGACAGGAAACACACATTAGGAGTCRTGATACATTTGTGTAGGTTTATAAAAGTTGTTACAATCAATCTGCTGATATAAAGTTTTCTTCTTCCTATCAAAAACACAGTCTTGTATAAAGTATCTCAAGTACGACTTGAGTGAAAGTAAGTGTCCTACCATAAAATTACTTTGGTGAAAGTTAGTCTCCTCTAAGAATATTATTGCATAAAGGSTTTAAGTACAGTGAGGCCCACAAAGTAGCTTTTCACCTTTTGTAAACTCAGTCCACATAGATTTTCATAGAACCTACCTGCAAGTATTCTGAAATAATCCTAGTAATTTTGCAGAATCTGGAAATACAGTAAATACTGTACAGTAAGGAACG